AAAGAGCTGTGTTGTCAGAAAACTTACTCTGGCTAAGTCGCCCCTTTTACAAAGCAAATCACCCGGACTATAAAGTTGATATCGTAAACGAAGTAACAGCTCGTACAATAAACCGGCTTCGCAGTCCTGCACCAAACTTTTATGAATTAATAAAGATGCGATGAAACGATATTAAAATTAGCTTACTTGCAAGAGTTCAACGCGCTTTAAAGTCTGCAAATGGAGTTGTACAGCAAGTTCACCTTGCAGTCTCGTTGGAAGTGTTTCTATAATCTCCTAAAATGAATCTTTATATGAGACAACAACTTTACGGCAAAATACAGTATGGAAACAAAACCGACATTTTCAGTTTGCGATATAATGTTCTGATCGCGCACATATTCACAACAGTTGATTACCCGTTTCTGAATCTCTGGTGTAACGTTCCTAAATTCACTTCAATAGAATAAAAAGGTATTGAGAAATTTTTTTCGTTTAATGTTGTCTAAAATTTACCGATAATTCATGTAAAATTTAATTCCATCAAGAAGCTGTTGAAATTCTGCTTGTTTTCGACTCATCATCAATACTACAGCACCAACTGAACCGACAATTGTAGCAAACACTAACAGCCCAATTAGTGTATCAATTATTTCCAGCCAATTTTGCTCTGAATCTGTTGGATAAGGCTGTAATAAATTTTTGCATATGATTATTCGGCAATGTTTTCATGACAGACCATTTCTATTAATAATATGAAAAAGAGTAAAGACGAAAAAAAAATTCTGATAAATAATAAAACTGATGCAAAACCTGTTGGCCTTTTGTTGTCAAAGTAAGCGAAGACCAGTAAAAGCTAAGAGAATATTCCTTACTAAAATTGCTGAAAACTAATTCACGAGACCTAAAAAGTATATTGAAAAGTTATATGTCATTTTCATTTGAAATTTTGTTGTCTTTCTTTTTCCGTTCTATTTCAACAACAGCGCTATAGTTTGATCTGGTCGTTTATAACCAACAATAAGTTGTAAGCTCAAAAATTTATGACATCGGCATTTTTACAGGTTTCTTCAGCATTAGATGGGTTGAAAACTAAGTATTTTCAAAGTACCTGGGAATCCAGTATTCCATCAATTCTTCTACATATTCTTCACGTTCAGTAACATCTCGACCTGTTTCGTCGAACCAGCAATCGTTTTGTTCGTCATCACTTAGCACATAACAGTCAGGAAAAGCTGGATTTGCATTTTTTGTATAAGTAAATGTCCAAACATCTTTATCTGGATCTATAAAGCATATGATTTATTTTAAACTTTGCAAATTTATTTTAAAATTTAACTGGAATTTATGCATAAATATTTGTTTTTGCAATCTAAACAGTGTTTATCCCAACAGTTTTTTACCGATTTTAGTGTCCCCCTTCTCGAATACTACACTACTGATTAAAAAAAGGAACAAATGACTGCGAAAAAGACTTATCCGTTGCTGTTTCTTACCATTGATATCTATATCAGTAATTAAACTGATGTAGAAATATGCACATGCATTCCAGTGGAAAAGTATTAAACAAAGGACAATCAATGAAAATATCTTAAAACTGTTTGGCCACTGTGTTCGCATTTGTGCTCTTTCAGCAAATTCCCATAGTCGATAAAATTTAAATAAGCGATTCAGTCTGGACAATGAAACATTTGAAAATAATAGCAATAGTAAATCTGTTGGCACTACTGCCGCTGCATCTACCAGAAATAAGTAACTGAAAAAAAAAAAAAAAAACAGAAGAATTAATCACTATTATAAATCTTTTTTTCTCTGTTTAATATCGATAAAAAGTTCTTCTGGTTACAAAACTATTATTAATTTTAAAAGCATGCAGTGAGTAATTGTTTTTTTTTTCATCTTTTTTTCACCTATAAACAAAGAAAAAATGTATAAAGATGCAAATAACTAAAAAAAATGAAACAGAAAGTAGTTAAAAATAATTATATTAAATCTTTATAACTTTCATTTTTCTCAGTTCATTAACAAAGTATAATACTGTAAAATTTTTTTGAAGCACAATAAATTAACTGTTTTAAAGTGTGATATCTGGGCATGAAACTGTTGAAACACATGAAACTATGCAAAAATGTTACTGAAAAAGCTCACTACATTGTTATCTATTCTTGGCAAATACATTTCGTATAAAAAATTTATTTGTCCGAAAGAAAAGGCTGTGATTTTAAATGTTTATAACGAACAAAGACTTTCTAAAGGCTTTCTGTGTCACATCATTTTGTTACTCCAATCACTCAGTATTCATAAAAGTTGTAAACAAAAATTTTCATTCTTTTTTGCAAAACTTCATATAATCAGTAAATTTTTTTACAATTATCAAAATTTACACTTTTTCAATATGATTACTGCGAATTTTTTAAGGCATAACACACTGTAAACTTTTTAATAAGTCGTTTTTTAAGTATGTTCAGAAATTATATACAAAAACTTTGTTTTTGCTGCTTATAAAGTTTATGCTTAAAAGTTATGATGCCAATGCCATAGTGTATCTCTCATACTTCTAAAAGCATTCTACTAAGCTTCGACGTTAAGACGACTAATTTGCACCAATTTTTCCAAAAATTTAAAATTACTTTTTCTTTTAGAAACTTTATTAACAGTTGAAAGTGAAGCTTTTTTTTGCAGAGATGCTCAATTCCTCTTCGAGCATTTCAAATTGTTTTTTTGTGATTGTTTAATGTCAGCTTGTCTCCACCTTAATCTTTTAAAAATTTAGAGGAAACTGTTTTACCAGATTTTTAGGCACAAAGCTATTTTCAATTTAACTTTGAAGTAAGTAAGAATAAAATTTGCTTAAAACTTTTAACACTTCAAAGTATGAACTAAAAGCCAAAAATTATACGATGATTTTATAAAATATCGCTTTCCAGATGTATATAGCACATCTTCCGTATTTTATTCATATAACAATAATTTCAGTTTGTACAGCAGTATATTTTTTGCTTATAATTCTCTAAAAAAAACTTTATTTTTCTAACTTTTTGTTGATTATTTGAGTGTAAATTTGGGTTCAAAAAACCGCGAACAGCACCTAGAAAAATACACTTTTTGCCAAATTGTCCGCGCCAGAGTGCAAAAATTTTCTGGAATATTGAACAACTATCTTTATTGTCGTTGGAAAAAATACAATATTATAATCTGTAAATGCAGTTTAGCACAGTTTTAGAGGTTTCTAAAACTATATCTTTCACAGCTTTGATGTAAACTATTACAAAAAAATAAATAAATAAATAAATAAAAAAATTAAAAAGAAAAAAGATTGGTCTAGAAAGCAAGTGTCAAAGGAAAGTAATTTCAAATATTATATATAAGGCAAATTCTTTTAATCCACAAAACTGAAAAATTTCTTAGCATCTGTTAGCATGTAAAACCTCTACGATACAAACTAAGGGTCGTTTAAGTGAGTCGCGGTTGAAAATTTTAACGTCAACTGAATGAAATTTTAACTATTTTACTGCTTTTGCTGCATCCCCGTTTCCGAGTTACAAAATGACTTCTGAACCAAATTTTTTCAAGACTCGTTTAAGTTAAAGTTAATAGCCTCTCAAATTATTGGCTTTTTAAACGTCATAATCTTTTCTTTTTAGAGGTTTTTTTTGAAATTTTCAAGACAGAAAACTCCATATGATATGTGTCTAAAAAAAAGAACTAAGAAATTAATTAACTGAGCAATTTCTTTCCAAATCTGCTACGTTTGCAGTTTTATAACTCGTTTTATTGAAATATAACGTTTAAAAATTGTAGCAGGCACTAAACTTTTATAAAATGTAGCAGGCACTAAACTTTTATATGAATTCAAAGTTAGTGAACTGTATTTTTAATTTTTTACGTAAGCATTAGCGATCAAAAATCTAGTGAAGTTTTTAACACTTTTACACGGGATAACCCAGCCAGAAATTTCTTTTTTCAACTCCTTTCTTTCACTTTACGATTCAGACGACTAAGCTTAACAATTTTCAAGTTTTAAAAGTGTCTGAAGCATTGGCCAAAAAAATGTGAGCAATTTGCTTACAAGATGAGTCATGCAAATTATTATAAAATAAGACAAATGACGCTCAAGTAATCTTGTAAAAAAAATTAATTAAAGATTAGTAAGCGACACTTAAGTAGTTTTTAAATAATATGTTTTTACGTTTTTTATTGCTAAATTAAAATCATTGGTTGTTGATATATAGAACTTTATGCAGGTAAACCTAAGTCGTCAGCTGTAACTGTTTGAAAACAGTATTTCTAAGTTATCGAGGGCAATTAAACCATTGCTTAATAACAAAAAATTAAGTGAAGTCATAAAATTTTCAAAAAAAAAAAAACAGTTTTATTTACTATTTTATGGTTTGCATCTTCTTTTTTTTTTTTTATATATTTTTTTTAAAATATAACAATATACTTAAATTGGGATACCTTTTAAAATAGCATTTAGCGGTTTTTTTAACATCTTTTTCCACTTCACCATTATTCAAGCTGCCTGAAAAACAGAATAGATAAGCTTGCACAAAAAAGAATCCTTATGTTTTACTTTAATAATTGAAGAATAAAGCTTTTTTCTGTTTGTTTATTTACTGTTAGAGTAATTTAGAAGAAAAAAATCTTTTTTTTTTTTTGTTACATAACTATACTAAAACCTTTTCTTGCTTGTACATATATATCAAACAGATAGATTAGATCACAAACTGCATTACAGCATAACCAATGATAAAACAGATTATATCGAATATCGTCAAAAATGAATGCAACTACAGCAATTGTGTTGTAAAATGTTGCAAACGCTGTTGCAGCCAACCAAAACAGATAAATGGTAGACGTTGGATCTACTGGACCCAGTAAAAGACTTCTGAAAAAATTGTTATCTTCACCACTGTACAACTGTCAATTACATTTTAGCACTTTCTACCAGCTGTGTAAAAACTGTTACAGATGACACTTAACAGATGTTTATGAGACATCAAATTTACTCAGTAGTTTTAGCTACATTGATAACCTACTTCTTGTATCTAGCGCTCTTGAAAAGTATTGATTTTGACAGAATACGATTACCAGTATTGAACGTAAGCTGATCTAAACCTTTTGCAGTATGTTTCATTTTGTAATACAATTTATTCTGTTTATATCTTCAAGTTTTAAAATGATAGTTGTGATATTTAGTAATCATAAAAATCTTGCCTAAAAATTCCATTTCAAAAAAAAAAAAAAACGATAAAAGTAGTTTTTGCTTATAGTGAGATAGAAGGACAGTTTTTTTTAGTTTAATTTCACGACTAATGCGATCAAAAAATAATTGTATTTATTGTAAAAATTGGTAAAAAAACAAAATTTCAAAATTAACATTCAAATAAAAAGAAATATTTGACTAATTAAACAATAGTGTAAAAAATTCATAAATAATTAGCCAGTTAATAAAAAAAAAAAAAAAAAACATTGATTGATTTGAGAAAAGAACAAAATTTTTTTTTTCTGATGTAAGCATTTCTTCAAATATAAGAAATGAATTTTGTAACCTAATTGAAAACGTAAAAATTTAAAGAAAATAACTGCACAGATGCTGTGAATTTATTTTGCTGCCGCGAAAGACGTCGTTTTCAGCAACCTTACTTCAGTAAATTTGACGAAAAATACTGTTTAAAAATTTTAAAAATTGAAGATTTTAGAAAACTAAAAGAATGTTTCATTCTGGTCATTTTTTATTATTCAGTACAATTTGCAACACAGAACAACAATATCAATAAAGGTAATACCGAATTAAAAAAACAGAAAAGCAAGAAGGAAAAGGCTAACAAAAGAGGCCGATTTTGTGCTAGTTTTGAACAAATTTTTAATACATGCTATTCAGCAGATGTTTCTGGAGAACAAGTAGTGTTTTTTGAACTACTCGCTCAGTTATATAACTAATAGAGAAAACTAAAACTTACTTTAGTCCAAAACCTGAATCCAGCTGTGATTTTTTTGCAGACGCTTTCTGAAGTGTTGTCGGTACAAATACTGAAATTTATTCAAGTTAAAATTTTTTTTTCTCAAGTAGACTTCTTTCTTAAATGACGATTACCATTGCCAAAGAGACAAACAAACAGACAGAAAAAGCAAGCAAAAACTTGGTTATCAATCAACGTTTCCAAAAGTTTGAAACCGAAATCATTGTTATCCTGATCCGCTTGTTCCATCGATGCCGTTACTTTTGCAGACGATGTCCATCGGTAAATTCTCTGCAGATATGTCAACATTAATCACTGCCATTGAGTTTGGCTTCTCAAAAAACAATTTTACAACAGTTTAACTGTTTCTCTTCAAATTTGTTTAGGAAAAA